TATTGAAGGGGAAATAATCACTTCTAACGAGAACAACTGGCAATTAAATAATTGCATTGTTTTAAAAATATAATTGCATTTCTTTTAACAAAAACGAAAAAATTTCTCCAGTTATATATTGACCTTGAAATATTAAGGTATCTGGCCTATAAATGTAAAAACATCACTTTGAAAAACAGGTGGTCGCTCTCAAATATTTGGAGTACTAAGGAAAATACACAGTAACTCAGTTGCTAACCCAGTGTGTGCAGGGTGCGCCATGAGTATGGTAAAAAAATTATTATCACATAGGACGCATTTTAACATAAAACACTATGCTGGTGGTGCATTTTTTTTTTACAAAAACCGTCTTTTCACATGTTACTATGGAATGTACGCAAATTTGTTAGGTATGTATGCTTTTCTGCAGCTTGATTAATGTTTTGTGGATAATTATGTATTAGCTATGACAGGGCACGCAAATTCATTAAAAAGTTCGGGCTAGAATTCTGACGGTGAATTTTTGAAGGCTCCGGCTGCGAGTGTCTTGCTTAGAGCAGGGTTCTTTGAATAGTTTGATGGTCGGATTTTGGGCTAACTTCGTAGGTCCAGCGTCTTTCGGAAAGGTTCGGGCAACGCCTATGGACTGAGTTCTCTCCCAGTACTGTTTTTTTCGCTAATTATCCTTTACGTAGATTTTTTAACCTAATGCTATAATCGATAAGAGCAAACTGTAATAGACGAGAGGAGATTGTGACGACGAGAAACTTCATCAGTCCTTTCATCAGCTAATTAGCTTCTAATGAAGTATGTACTGGTGTCCTAGAAGTTTGAACGTCTGTTGCCCGGTTGAACCATTTCTTGTCAGTTAAAAGTACAGCCCCGTGCATAAGCGGCTTCTGCTTGTGATAGACATCATGTCCAATTTGTAAAATTTCTGAAATTACATGTTGCGAACCCAGAATAGCAAAATTATTGCTTTTACGAAAAGTTTTCCACGATCTTACTGCTCGTGTTGCGTTACTGACCCCTGTCTCCAGCAGAAGCGTCTAAACAGCGATAAATCGGATGGGCCTTCGTCAGTCGATTCAGTCTTCCCAATTCGGTCTCCGAAGGGATCCTAAAAAGACAGTCGATGTAGACAGCCCTTTCACCGGTGGCTTAGTCGAATAAGTAAAAAGGTGGCGCGATAAGGAGAAGCTTTGCCCCCTTTCCCAGAATGACGAGGTGAACAGACTCAAACGGAAATGGGAACAAAAATGAGTGCCGTAGAAATCGAGAAAATAAAAGCTGCCGCATAAGCTGTAAACTCATCTCCGTTACCGTATTTTCAGCTTACTCTGTTCTTTACATTCAGATGGTCCTCTTTGATAGACCTTCCCCGGATTTTGCTAGGACACAGAATAGACTGTAATGAACAGCTTAAAATCGGGACTTTTCTCGCTGCCATTTTTCGCTGATTTAACGAAATTAATCCCTTTCCCCTCGAAGCCAATCCTATTCATCCCCCTTTTCCTGTGATCATCTGATTATGGTCCTCTCACAATGGCAATGACTATTCTTCCTTGACTAAATTGATTCGAAGTACATATTCTGAATTGCTCATAATTGCTGGTTCGAAACTCCTATTTACGAAGATATCGTGCGATTCTTTGATTGTAAACGCATTTCCGTTCCTCTTAGATGTTGCGTGTACTAAGAAATCGTCGATTGGAACAGTTGTCCGGCTATGGTGATAAATTTATGGAAAAGGCAACCTCACTCGAGGATATTCCTCGGAAAACACGTACACAGGACGAAGACCACGTGTTCGTTGGTCGGACAGTGAGCGACAGACGACTATCACGAAGGGATGAGTCGTCGCCGCCGCCGAAGGAGCCAAAACCACGTCGAAGATTCTTTCGTAAAGGAAGTGATGAACGGCGGTCTGGTTCAGCTCCTGCTATACTGCGAAGATGCAAGGAAGGTTGTGGTTGTATTCTGGGTATTTGCATTAAAAAATATTTTATATGTTGATTTATTTCTAGACTTTTTTGCCACCCCTCCATGAGAAACTGTTTAGGAAGGTTCGCAAAAATCACAATCAGAGTCAAAAGGTTTTCAGTTAATTGTTCCGCTTTCGCAACAGGCTTGCAGGACGGTTTTTTTTTTGAGGACCTACGTTGTAGGAGCCATGATGTGGGTTAGAAGCGATTAAATTCTTAACAAGATACGAAACAAAATCGAAATGCCAAATGTGGCGCTGGATATTGCTTTTCCTGATGTTCGTTTTCCAAACTTTTGGTTCGAATGGTCCCTATTGAAGGTTCAAGGCCCTTCCATGGGGACCATTTGAATTTCGATTACTTGACTTTCACAAGGGACCTGCCAGATGACAGCAGCCTTTAGGAACCGCTCCCTTTTCAATGACTATCATGCAAGTAGCAGAGCTGTCACTTGTCACAGCTCCTTCCTAATAAAAGTACAAAATTGAATTTTATCCTGCAAGAAGGCAGAGGCAGAGCTTCTCTGATGATTAGGAAATGCATTGGGAAATTTTGAGTGAATTTTCCATTCAAAGTGTTAATTAAGTGAATTGCAGGCTTATTCAAGTTTCGTCAGAATCGTCGATCAAAAAAGTCCATTTCGGAGACGACGAATACAGCGACGGAAAAATTGGATGTGATGAGGTAAGGGAATTGTGGCTACGAGATCATTTTTTAAAGTTCAATATAAGCTTTTTGTTGGTCGTTCTATCTGATTTATGGTAGTATTTAAAAAACAGTGTAATTCACGTAGTGCTGTTACGTGCCACGATATATTTTGAGTCATATTGCACTCACATCAATAAATTGTGGTCTTTACAACTCTGATAGACTCGAGTTCAGTTTGCACTGGCTCGGGACCCGCTTGTGATTTACCGTAAAGGATTTTTGGATTTTTATTAATTTTTGGAGTTATGCACTCCAATTTTAGGAAAATTGTGGCTTATTCGTCATTGTGTTCTCTCTTTTGATGGCGGTTTCTTGTTGCGAATCGAAAGCCCGTGTCACCTTCATATTATCAGAAGTGATTTTACTAGTTGATTGTCAGTAACATGTACAGTTGCGATGCGCCTTCTTATCAGAGCCATCTCAACTCAACCCCGTCAGAGTTTCTTGATGCTTCTCCGTCGATCATTTCTTGCATCTACTGCTTTTAGGGAAACGTCTTTCATTTCCTGGAGATTGATTTTTCGCTTTCTCTCTTGATTTTTCGCTTTCTGTCTTTCCTCCTTTTCAAAGAAAATGTAGAATTTCCCAAACTAAAGCAAGATGATTAACTTCGGACGGGCCATACTTCAACTTTTGGCTCTGCAGCAAATTATCGACATTTTTAGAAAATGTGGTCATCAAAAATTATTGTGATCATTGAAAAAAAGCAAGAATTTGTACTCTGCAAGTAATCTTTTGAGCTCGTTATGATAGGGGAAAGGGACAGTGGGAAGAGATGTTGCTATCAGTCAGTCCTACAGTGAAGGGAGCAAGTCTCACAAAGTCGTTTGCACTTCCTATCGTTACAGTTCACCAGACTATTGGTACAATATTTTATGCTTACTTTACAATATCGAAATTATTGTACAGCTACCAAACTCTCCTGCACAGATCTTTTTTTGCTGAAATGTTTCATTGATAGAGATTTTACCCGGGTTGTGCTAGTATTTTTTGAGATCAAGGTTAAGTAATGAAGGTCATAAATTTGTTTCCTAAAAAGCAAAGTTCATAAAATCATGTACTTTCGATGAAAGTTAATTTAAATTGGTTTTGATTTTTTGGTTCTGATTTTATCCTGAAAACCTATTTCTGTCGGCCGACTGATTTTCGGTACTTCCAGCTCATAACCAATTAACTGCTGTCCAAGGTCCATCAGTTTTGAACGGAATTAATCGAATAATTGAATATTTGCTCATTGATGATAGCAAGTTATTTCTTTTTTGTAAATGATATGGCAGTATGTTTCCACTCCCTTTGAATTGCTTGGTGAAAGTTCAATTATGGAGGTTCATGCCTGGCAGATGAGTAGTGTTCAAATAGGACAAGATGCATCTTACAGAAGGGCGAATGCAGAAGTTAAAGTGAAAGTAGCAGATGAAGATTCGATTGTCAATCGGTAATTAGGTTCTGGTTTGTTCTCGCTGTCTACTTTTACTTCCCTTTGATTTAATTGCTTTTTATCGCTTTTCTAGAAGCTCCCTTTCCAGCATGTGCAAGTATGGGCTGTTCCCCACCGAATTCCCTCTGGTTATTTCTGTTGTTCTTCTTTCTTTTGAATCTAGCAAAGTAAACCAATGAAAGAGGAGGGGAGCGCTCTCCTTGCCAGTGAAATCGATGTCTTCTGTTTTTAATGTGCACACGTTTCTCGCTGGTCCCTTACCAGATCTGTTTGTTTAGGCTTCTGGGCTTTTCCTTCTTTGAAGCCACCAATAAATTATCCTTTCTAATTTATCATTTCTTTTCCATAAGAATTCATTTTCTACCCATTCTTCAGCCTTTTCCATGGAATGCTCAGCTGATTTTGGGACCTCTCAGTTTCCTTTAGTTTTCACTTCCTATTGATTTTGGAATCAATTTCCTGCAGCCAATCGATTTTTCAATATTTTTGCGCTCTGTAGCGACTATGCATCTCTTGTTCTGCAAGGCTCGTTCCGAATTGATTTTTTCGATTGATAGTGGGGTCGATTACGCTTTTTTGGATCGATTCCGGCAAATGGGAAAGTCCCAGAAAGCATAGCAACTGTCCGGGATTGTTTTTCTTTTATTAATGCCTCATGGTCAAATCAAGCGTATCAGTGGTATAGGTATAGCGCAACATGACGTATTCCCTTGATGCGTCGCCCACCCCGAACCTGATCTTCTTTGGTTGATTGTCGTCACATCTCCCTTTTTCCCTTCAGTAATGATTAGTTGTAGGAAGTAAATAAAACGCCTCATGATATTACTGATTTTTTATAGAACACAATTCGCTTTTACAAGTAATGTTTTTAAAATAAAATTATTTTCAGTATGGATGACGTTCATAGTACGGCTAGCAGCACACGTAGTGATGAAAAGGTATGCTCCTTTTTGATTTTGTTTTTCGAAATCGATTTCAGTTTTTCTTTTAAACTATCAATTTTCTTTTGATATGATTGATATTCGATATTTTTTACCTCCGATTAATCATTTTTGTACAAACCTGAGTGTTTCAGCGTATTAACGGTTCAACGAGCCTTTTGGACCTACCACTGGCCCCACCTCCACCTCCTCCAGTTGACGATGAAGGCTACACGATACGGGAACACGAAGACGCCAAAGAGGACACGAATTGGTCGTCGTGCAGTAGCAGTGATGAGGTGAACAGCTCTTGGTTTCCAATAGTTTCACGTGGTCATTTATAATTGTTTATCTCTCACAGGATGAAAACGCTTTACAACAGTCGAAAATCCGCAGCTTGACGATACGACCGGCAGAATCGGCAAAAACCATGAATGCGTCAGTGGACGAGTTACGGGATGCTATCGGACATATCAATATATGTAGAAGTAATACTTTTGATAAGGTAAGTATGACAAGTTTGGTGATGGCTGTATTCGATATCTGCCATCTCTGTGGTTCCGCCAATGAGTTCTGAGTGCAAACGTAGCCCGTGTAGAGCATAAGAAGGTCCATATGATCCACGTGTAACATCCACCTGAGCTATGTTCTATGGGTTTTGAGAAGCATGGAAATCATATGTTTTGGAGATTGGAAAGGGCGTACATATGAGGTAGCCGGTGGTAGTTTTTAAAAATGGGGAAAGAAAAAAACGTAATAATTTTTCACTGAAAGCTTCTGGAGGTTTGGCTCAAACTTATTGGCGACCGCGCGTTTCGAAGGGTTTTGTACGTGGGACAGCACCCTTAAAAATACTAAGAATCAATGAGTACTGCTCGATAGCTTTGAAAATGTATAAAAATTGCAAAGGGATGAATCCATGCCGTCGGTCCCTCGACCTCCATGCGGCTATCATGATGGGGCGCGCGGCTTCGGATCACGCTTTAAGCAGTACGATAAGCTTGTATCCTCGTTTACAGTGATTCCTTGTGAATTAGGGCCTTTTCTCCGGCATTTATGTTATTGTATTATATGTTACATTATAAATTGTTTATTTTGTTAATTTTAGGATCCTTGGTCTGTTGGATCCAGTCGTCCGCCGTTATTCTCGCAGTCTTTGACCGGTGGCAGCCTAAAACCATTGCGACCATGTCATACAGCTGATGGTCGGTTTCGATCAAATTTCAATGGTGGGTCCATTATGTCGTTTCTTCAAAGTTTTAAACGTTTATAGCTGAATTTCTGCGTTTTCTTTTTTTTTNTTTTTTTTGTAAGTTCGGTTATTAGTAACGAAAAATAGTTTAAGAAGGGTTCTCGCGACGGTGGGAATGTCTCACAGAAAGTTTATTATAGAATCTGATTTCGGCAAAAGCAACATGCCAATGAATTTCTCCGCCTCCATGGGTCCTATAGCTGGTATGGCTAGAGCACGGCCGCGAAGTAATACTCCCACCTACAACACGTCATTTGGTGCAGGTGCTACCCTCAGGAAGGTAATATTTGCTGTCGATGTTGATGTTGATTTGCTAGTCAGATGTTTGTTTATCTGTTTATCTTTTTGTTTAGGATTCCGTCGGTTCAGTAGAATGGGGATCTTCCTTCGCGATCAACAATTCTGAAGGAGGTCAAAACTTGGGCGAGTCGTCGTTCAATCTTTCTCAGTCAACAGCGAACCTCATGCAAGTAAGTCGGTCTTTATTACTGGAACTGTTAGGCGATGGAGAGTAGTTTCGACCTTTTAGTTTATAGTTTTGGCGTTTAAGCGAGGCGGCGATTGTAGATCAGAAAACTTTTTAGGCAACAATAAGTGAGCATCGTGTACCTGTTGCGATGGCTGTCAATGAATATTCCCATGTGTGGTTCAAAAGCGCCAATGTTGAAGAGTAGGTTCCATCCTTTGCGTCCACTAGCTTACAATTGATTTCTTTCCTATTAGCTGTGACTACTAAGGGACATATATAACAGCTTCTTCAGGCGTATAACTAGAACTTTTGGTACGGTGTTGATCTCGTTCGCTGCCACATCACTGCCGCTTCTGACGGACGTGCATTCTGATCTTGAGCCGCTTCGATTCGATCTTATTGATGCTGTTATAATTAAGTCTATAGTCCCAAATAAGCAGGTAAGCATTTTTATTGCATTCTTTTGTGTTTGTTTGTTTTGTGTGCTTTCTTTCTCAGTTCTCTTTAGATTAGAGGTGACCTTTTCAGCTTCTCCTGCCCGATTCTGTTGCTGCACAACATGGTCCCACCTATCACTATCAGTTCGATCGCCTAGGCCTTGCTAATTGGTTACTTGCTCAACAGAAAGAAAAGCCTACAGCGGCGTTCTTCAATGCGGAGGTTTGGAAATATTCTGCCACTTACTCATGTGATCATTGTAGGAGCTCTTTTCTTTTTCCTGAACTCCCTTGACTTCAGTGGATGTAGGTCACCTGGTGACTGTTTTCAGTGATGAAATGTGTTCACTTTCTCAACAAACTATCAGACTGGGGTGAGCGCACTTCACACGCAAGGCCACGGGATCGATTCCTGGATCGATATCTGCCTAGGCCAATCAAGCCCGCCATCCCTCCGGAGTCGGTTTATTGTAGATTAGTCTGGGAGGATAAAAGCAGATCAGTCTGGGAGGATAAAAACACTGACTTGTACATCGGCTGGCCACCCCCCCCCCCCCCCCNATTCATTGTATATGTCACATACGCATTCAATACGCCACTACGATTCTGAATGGAAGTCGAATGCGGGGCGTATCCCTCAGATGGGATTTATCAGTGCCAAAAGACTTTATCCTGTATCCTCCAAATTGTCGTTCTGGAACTCCCGTCTGCTCTTCCAGTAGTGGGCGCATGATCCCAACTTTTAGCTACCTCTGAATTTCCGTTTTAAGTTCTCTTCATCTCTCCATCATTTAAAAACAATCTGTTGAAACTGTGTCCCAAGATTTTTACAACAATTGTCTAGGTTCTGCGATATGAAATTCAAGATCAAGAAAATGCTGTTCAACCTCCTCTCCTGTTATCCAATTACTGGAAATGCGAAGAAGATCATACAGGTCTGCCTTGAGGTTTTTCCATATGAAGGGCGCACAGGGTTAAAGTTCGTACGGTTGTGGATTGAGATATCATTGATACATACATTGCACGATGATATCAATTGCCCAAATATATCGGCTTATTTCAAGACGTGCGGGTAGACTACCATCTCAATCCTCAATGTTCAATAACAACTCCGTTACTGAATTTGGTTTTCACAACTAAGGTCTCAGGAGAAGTCAGTAGCGTCACATCCGATCCACAGGCATCCTGGTAATTCGCTTTTTATGAATTTTAGCTTTGACCATCAACTTTCCAGCTCATTATCTTCGCATATTATAGGACAGCTGAAAACAGTGCATTGTCATGGTCTGTAACTGAATTGTCGCGATACGGCGATTGTTCGGGTTCTTTGAAAGCGCGGGTACATCTTGCTGGAGGCGGCCCATCNTTTAGCTTTGACCATCAACTTTCCAGCTCATTATCTTCGCATATTATAGGACAGCTGAAAACAGTGCATTGTCATGGTCTGTAACTGAATTGTCACGATATGGTGATTGTTCGGGTTCGTTGAAAGCGCGGGTACATCTTGCTGGAGGCGGCCCATCACAGCCGGCCCACGTTCACGTGCAGTTCCAGGTTTGTTAGCTTTTCTCTCTCTAAGTATGTTAGGCTCTGCAAAATGATACAATCAGTGAGAGTAGGGAGACTCGTGTATTTCTTTTTTTCCTTCGTAGGAAGTCGTTCCTAAATGGTATAATGTGTGGGTATTGGATCGTGCTTGTCATTTCTAACAAAGATCGTTTAATTCAGCCCGAATTTGGGAAAATTAGGGTGTCGGTCAACTTAAATATAGCGCATTGGTTAGTTATGGAGCCGTAGTACAGCGAGCATCAGTGACCATTGTGGTGTGACACGAGTGTTCGTGGGCTGGCCTGCACAAGGGCCTGCATACTAGTGTCCGCTTCCATCAGATGGAGCAGTCCTGCTATCATTCTGTGAAGATACGGACAACACCAATTCTACTCGATACTATTATTTATCATTTTTGTTCACTTTCTCTTATTTACCAGTTTCCTTTACTGTTTTCCACCTATTCTTTGATGGCACGGCTATGTCTTTCTCCGGAGGATGTAACATTCGTAAGGGGGCCGCAGTTTTGACGCTCCCGGGAAATGGTCTAAAAGGTTTTCGGAACTTCCCTTTCCTTGGGATCGAGAGGCGGGAAAGCCTTGCGAGACAGCAACAGGGAATTATTGTGAACTGTGCCTTCAAAATGGAATACCTCGAGATAGTCATGAAATTTGTCTTTAAGCGACTACTATTTGAGAGAGATGAAAATTTTTTCGGACGCCCTCACGCTTGGTGCTTTATTCGGTTCAATCTTGATCATCTACCAACTTTGTTTCAGTGCTCGGACACGACTATCTCAGGTGTAAATGTGTCCCTCTCGAATTCNATTTACCAGTTTCCTTTACTGTTTTCCACCTATTCTTTGATGGCACGGCTATGTCTTTCTCCGGAGGATGTAACATTCGTAAGGGGGCCGCAGTTTTGACGCTCCCGGGAAATGGTCTAAGAGGCTCTCGGAACTCCCTTTTCCTTGGGATCGAGGGGCGGGAAAGCCTTGCGAGACAGCAACAGGGAATTATTGTGAACTGTGCCTTCAAAATGGAGTACCTAGAGATAGTCATGAAACTTGTCTTTAAGCGAGTACTATTTGAGAGAGATGAAAAATTTTTTGGACGCTCTCACGCTTGGTGCTTTATTCGGTTCAATCTTGATCATCGACCAACTTTGTTTCAGTGCTCGGACACGACTATCTCAGGTGTAAATGTGTCCCTCTCGAATTCGGACACATACCACTTATCGATGGTCCGACGAAAAGTTCTGGCTGGAAAGTACTTCAGTGAACCGGAAATCCGGAAATAGATCAATTTTGCAGAACTGTAGTAAACTCCTCCTCTTTTCCCTGTACTTTGGCTGTACAGATCGCCTGAACATAAATTTTATTGAGAATATCTTTATCTCACTTTTAATAACCATATGGAGCTCAGACCTCTTCTTTTTTCCGGCTAGTGATGACTGTTACTGTCCATTTCTTTTCCTCTGTTTATTTATTTCTGTTTACATAATTTCTTCTAAATAGTCATCGAATTACAGACGGTTAGCTCAGTAGCATATTACGCTCAACCCTGCTATGGTGCTCTTTGTTTTTTTTATACGCATGCGGTTTTTTTTGGAATTTTCCTTATTTTATCAACATCTCGGCAGGATTACTACGATGTTGTTACAACTTAAACCGTTGACTTTTACTTTTACGATGTTGTGTTTTTCAATTGTTATTGAAATCCCATAATTTTTTTGAAATATATAGCTCATTTTCCTTGGTCCTAGCAAACATGGCAAGCCTATAACCGACGGCGGGGTAGGATGGATTGCAGTTCAATTTTTAATGGAACCAGTTTGCGCCACGCACATGGGAGACGACATGTACCGAAGGTGGTCCAATCTTGGCTGGTGAGGAGCCCATGTTCGCGGCTGTTCCAATGGCTTACTCCTTCTAAGCTTGCATGTCTTGCACCAAATGACGATTTCCCTTCAGAAATCGCTAGCTACATGCCTTTCGAGGCGCGCCCTTCCTGAAACCGTCCATCCTACCCTGAAGTGGCCTTTGTACAAACTTCATTCCGTCCAGAAAAAAACGGCTGGTGTCTTCCGATTTTCGAGTTCCGGATGTAGGGCAAACTGGTTGCATTCAATCCATGCAGCGCTAGGATTCAGAGTAGAAGGCCATGTTGAAGATCCATTTCCTCGAACCATCCCAGTGATGGTGATCAGGGAAGGGTGTGGCCCCGTTCGGTCCATTCTCGCGCACACTGTAGCCTGTCGGAATTCGATCTTATCCTCTTCGGCTCGAAGTTTTTTTCGATTTTACCAAACTATGTGACCTTCCATTTCGTCGCCTTTGTCCCACCAACATGATCCCTGTTCTCCTGCACAAATTCATCCCCAGTTCTATATATTTACGAGTATGATATTTGACATACTGTTGAATTGTGATATGAAGCAGTAGTAGGGGAAATCGTTCGAATTTCAATGACTTTTTATTTTTATGTACAGCATTATTACCAATAAAAAGTTTTATAATTAGTTGTCTATCAGTGTGTTATATAGGATTTCTTCCTGTACGTAACACTTAAATCATTCGTGTTATACTCCGTAAAACTGCCCTAGTAATTTGAACGTTTGCATATCGTTGTACTCACTCAAATGTTCGAGATCAGTCTGTCTGTTCGGGATCAGTTTTTCGTTGCATTACAACACTAGCAGAAGTTGCATCCTGCACGGCCATGAAATATTTGATTAATCAAGAAGTTTTCTTTTCTGCTATGACTTTCTTTCTGATTTCTGCTATTTCTGATTCATTGGATGATTTATTGAAAGGGGGGAGGGGGAGAGGGAAGCATGTCTTCCCCACAAAAAGTGAAAAATGAGAAAAGTTTCCGCATTTCTACATTGAAAAAGTTGCGAGTTTATTGACCATCTCAATAGAATTTGGCTTACCATTCGATGGAACCGCAGACTTCCTTTTGAGCTACTTCGTGGACCATACAAGTAGCCTGTTCAGTGCAAAGGTTGGATGCAATACCCATGTTATGCTATCTTCTGCTGAAACTTACCGTATCCTTTTTCGAAAAAGTGTAAGTTCCGTGGAGTAGCAAAGAAACTGTAAGACTTCCGAAAGAGCAGTTGAAACTAATGTTTTAATGATTTTCAAGGCCTTCGAAAAGTGTTAGGCACTCATACCTGTTGCGTGCCAAGGGAGCTCTGCTCGCTCGAATTACGCAGGAACCTTTGAGGAATTCGTGGGAAGCTCGCGAAAAACATCTGGCAGTCATTGTAGCGTTTTATTGATGTAACAAAGATCTAATAGAGGAGAGATTTCACTGAGAACTCAGCCATATGCATGTTGATAGAATGGGATGTGTTGCGATGATGGTACGACTAATATTTTATGGCATTTAAAGTAGTGAATTCAAGCCGTTCCTAAAGTATATTTCACCCACTGTTATTGCTTACCCATTTCCTTTCCTTCACGTTTCGGGCTTTTCCAGAAAGATTATATTCAGGAGCAGTACATAGCTCGTGCCGATTACGGTAATCCCTATTTCACTTGATTCTCTCTCATACAAAGAATAATTTTTTTGCATTTTTTGGGGAGTTTTCCTCCGTCGGGCTTCCTCTCCTTCTCCTGGGATTAGGTGACACAACTGCAATTTTTGCACTGTGCTCTCAAGCTATCCATTGATACTGGTCATGGCTCGTATTCCCACCCTTCTTCTTCCCCTTAATCGATCTAATTTGAATATTTCTGGATGATGTTAGCCTCATATTAGCTTAACACCCATCCTTGGAAAGTCCGATTTTTTTTGGCGTCGTGCAAATGCTAGCTTGATACTTACTGCAAAGTTGCAGTAAAGTCATAGATCGTAGATCGCTTGAGTTGATGTGTTGTCTGGTCGAGCAACCTTCGTCGTCGGCCGTTTCTTATCGGCCTTGCGATGCCTCCGTGGGCGACCATGGCCGGCTTGTTATCGACCGACCGCTGTTACTTGGTCTTCTCTGGCGCTCATTCCTACTGAAACCATCAAGAACTTTCCAGATTATCAATCTTGCAGTGTTCTCTCAACTAATAACTGCTCTTGGTTTGCAGTGGTGTTTTGTTCGGGAATCCTTTTCAATTTAAAGAATCTGGTCTGTATTTGTGTTGTTTTCCTACTTCACGTTTTTTCTATCTCCACTGGGACCTTAGATTTCTGAATTATTATGAACTTCGCTTCTTAACTAATTCAGAGGGGTCGTATACGTATTGAGACATAATGCTTCTTTTCATTGCGTCTAAAAAAAGACCCCATTTCTTTGAATCAGGGGACTCGGAACGTGAAGTGAAGCGAAAATCATTGGAGAGAACCTGTAAATCAGTTTATGAAAGTGGTTTGGTGGCAGTGAAGAGAAACCAGAACGTCTCTTTTTAAGTTCTGCATGTGAATACTGGGCCCCTACTATTTTCGGTTCACTTATTTCTTGGTGTAAATACTACATATAAATACCTTGGATAAGGCTATGTAATTGCGTATTACAAAAAACTTATGCAAGCTTCAACCTATTTTTATTACCGGCGCACCGATCCAGGGCATTGGCCCGTTTATCTTTTTCAAACATCGGCATCGTTCACCCCCCTATTCTGGGTTATCATCACATTGTGGGGCCGTTTGATTTTTCACCCTCAACAACTTGGATTTTTTCCACATGTATAACTTAGATGCTGAATGGTACTAAAAATAACCTCCACTAATATCTGACTGCTACTTTAGTGAGATCATATAGGCCCGCCATCTTAGAAACCCCCTTGTTTATCATAGCAACAAAAAAAGGGGTGTGTTGCGATTCGTGCGATTCTGGGTGCGCGCGGCGAATTGAGCAGCGAAATTCGGTGCGATTTGGACGACTACAGCGTTTATCATTGGGGCCCAAATTCGAAGTAAACTAAGTTAGTAGGATTGTCCGACCCTACTTAAGTACTATACTTCAAGTTTGTGCCCCAGTGATAGGCGCCGTTTGAATCATCGCGAATTTCGCCGCGCGCGCCCAAAATCGCACGAATCGCACGTCCCCCCCCCCCCCCCCCCCCCCCCCAAAAAAAAAGAAGTATCGGTCACGGCACTTGCTAATAGTACGCAATTACACAGTCTTATTCGAGATATTTGTACCTACCATACTTGAAATCTACGTACCATACTTAAGCTATAGGTACGGTGTATTGCAGTGGATTACTTACAACGTGGTGTTCATACACGTGGCAGTGTTGCCGTACGTATATAAACAGCGTTTCGGAATGGGATCCCATCAGGATTCATAATGCGCTTCAAAACCTTTTTCAGCGCCAGTATGTTCATCTATGCGGTTTCGGAAGCGTTGAGGAACTTCTTTCAGGTGTGTTTTCCCAGAAAATTCTTTAGAATTGTAATCCTACATTAGAAATTTGATTTTATCCTTATGTGGGATAACCAGCAGTATAGACCGCTAGGTCGCCCCTCTTCCTGCAGGTGAAATTTCACTTTTTCCAAATATCGGTAAGCCTACAAAGAGAAAAAGCGGCGTAAAATAGTAAGTTATGCGGTTACGCAATGCACACAACAAATTATTTCACGTCAATATTGAGAACCTGTTGAATATCGTTTACAATATGTGGAAAACACCTTCATTGGTGTTGTCGCTCCCTACAATCCAGCTTGTTTACTCTCCTAAATGATTGTTTTCTTGTCGAGTTGCTTTTCCATTGGTTGTTGTAAGAATTGCAGTCGTCAGCAACCAAAAATCAGTTTTGCTGTCGTATTCTTATCACTGCAACGTAATGTGAGATTGTAGGAGAGCGCTCCCATATATTAATCATGAATTTCCATCAGATGGACAGAGTTATAGCATTTTGCTTGGTATTTTGTGGGGAAACGTTATAGTTTTTTCCATTCTCATTTTCCCACAATCTAAACACAGCAGTAGGCAGCCGCATAAACAATTTGTTGACTGGACCTTCGATGAATTTTAAGTATTCAGAGGTCATAACGTGTCCTTTGATTTGCTTAAACTCGTCCTATGGGTAAAAAGTATAAGTTGGGTAAAGTCTTTTGGCGTTAATCAATCCCTTCTGAAGGATGCGCCCCGCACTCGAAATCCGTTCAGGATCGTAGTGGTGTGACCTGCGGGTAGGATAGCGAAAATCAAATATAAAGAATAAAACAAGAGTTTATGCAGAAAATATTTTGGCTACTAGGCAACTGAATATTTTTTTTAAATATATAGTTTCCTTTTTTACAAAGACAATTTATTTAGTTGTGGCAACAAAAGACCCAAATGCCTGGCCTACAGTTCCTTCATTCCACACCATCTGTTTATGTCCAATTTTTGTTTTTGGCGATCAACTTGTTCCCCTAATGTTTTGCAGACTCCAATAGAATGTATTTGGTTGGTAAACAGTTAATTAGAGATGCCACCGTCATTTGTGCAGTTGTCATTTGTGACCAGAGTTCAACGAGTTTTTACTTCTCTCTTAGACTTGGTCTTTTTCGTGGCTTCTTATCTCGTAGATATGTAGATTGATTGTTTGCGTAGTTATGTCCTTCATGTTGACCTTTAGAAAGCGTTGTTAAATTTTTCTGATTCTTTCCGGTTTTCAGGTTGACGCATCTCAAAGAATGAGTAACCGTGCTGTTGCCGTACTACGAGGAGACCCCGGTGTGACCGGTACAGTGTGGTTCAGCCAGGTTGGTTGTTTTAATTTGTCGAGATAGTATCCGACTTCTTCAAATACAGAGTGATTAGTACATGTAAAGCAGTATACTTTGCTTTGTAATCAATTTTAAAAACAGGTTACTTCGTTTGTAGAGCTAGAAACTTACCCGCCTTCATTTTGAGTATTCATACATCTATTTTAAGGACAAGGAATCCGACCCATGCGTGATCAAAGGTGAAATCAAGGGTTTGACTCCGGGTCTTCACGGATTCCATGTCCATCAGTACGGTGACTCAACTAACGGCTGCACTTCCGCTGGACCACATTTCAATCCATTCAACAAGACTCACGGAGGGCCCAAGGTGATTTTTCCGCAGGTTTTTTCAATGTTAGCGTCAAACGGTAAGAAACTACCATGCAGTTGCAGTCTTCCCTTCATTTTAGTTCAATCGATTCAAATTTTTCGACGGCATATTATGGTATTCGATGCAAGGTTTTTCGGGGATTGATCCGATTATATGCATTCGTTGCGATAAAGTCAATTGCGATGACATCGCATACGCGGTTCAAAACTAGTTCCTACTGATAAGTTGTGTAATGTGGGGTTCCTCCTTGGTTTCTTTTAGTTCAGTGTATTTCTAAGCAATGCTTATATTCGTTACTAGAAAAGTTTTTTATAGTATTCTCCTTTTATAGTAAATCCATAATGGTAGCAATGTGATGAAACGTGAGTTCAAGATAAATGGTGTTGTCATTGGATTGGAAACACGCATTTTCAGGATGATGTTCGTCATGTTGGCGACCTCGGAAACGTTGAAGCTGGAGCTGATGGTGTAGCACACTTTGAGATCAAAGACCATTTGGTTAAGATTCATGGGGAACATACCGTTGTAGGACGTTCCCTTGTCGTTCATGCTGGAACTGATGATTTGGGTAAGATATGTTTTCTACGAAAGCTTCCCTCTGTCATTGGCAGATTTCATTCAGGCCCCTTGAATAACTAAGATGTTTTAGATGCATAGAAATTGCTGGGTAGAATTTCCCCACCAAAAAGGAGTCTATGGTTCGCCTTAAATTCGCTTTGTTTTAGGTAAAGGAGTAGGCGAAAAGAAGGAGGAATCTCTGAAGACAGGAAATGCTGGCGCTCGTGTCGCTTGCGGAGTTATTGCAACCGCTGCTCCCCAGTGACTACATGGACTACTCCACCATCTATGAGACATTTCATTAGTTGACATTTTCATATAACTTGTTACTTTTTTAACTAACTATTTTCTTACGTGTCCTGTTTATCGGTGAATTTATCACGAAGTTAGTCACTTAATAAATTCGAAATAATCATTTGTATAATTAGATGACAGGAGAACCGATCTCTGAGCTTTTGCAGCATCGATGGTCTAGATTTAGTTCATATCTGAGCACTGCTAAGCACTGCCCATCGAGTCGAGTCGAGGTTATCAGAAGCCAGCTCAAGGATCCGTGGATGCTTCTTTATGCTGACGACGTAATGCTCGCGTGTGGAGACTAGACTATTCGAGGAACAGGTGCAAGCTAGCCCCTGACGGCCTGGCAGTGTTAGTACTCAGATCAAACGTTAAAATTTCCCAAATATTGTATGACCACGTAGCTCAATGAGCAAGGTACTTAACAGAAGGACCTTGCACGTGCGTCCATTCAAGTATCTTGAGTGAGTAATCGTGTTTGACATCAGTCTTCTCCCTGAAGCTGCCTAACGTATGAGAGCTGAATAGCAGTGCGCCAGTGATCAAGGAGTTTGAAGCTTGCCTCGGTGTAATGGAGAAGAACAGGCTACGCTGGATAGCCAGATGTCACGCATTTCAACCGTATTCGTGAAGATACGATCAGTGAGCGTTTGAAGGCACATTTCACGATAAAAATAACTTATGAGATATCCCTCTACGATGGCGCACGCAGAAAATGGCCTAGCTAGGGCGTTACAAAGACTTAAAGATTGTTGGCCCGTGTGTATCCTCGGACGAGTTTCACCGGCAATGTAGAGGCTGCACCAATCACAAAGAAACCCACGTAGGAAGTTCAAACGACTTGTCATGACCAAAAGCGACAGTGAAAGGCGGTTCTTCAGTTCTGGCCTAATGTGGTCAGCTCTCTGTGCAATTGCAACAACTGAAATCTCGTCCGAATACCCCTTCTATGTTATTCCGTTTTGGTAATCTCGTCCAAGTAATCTCGTCCAACCTCTATTTTCCCGCTTTCTTCACTGCCGGTGAACTATTCCTAACCTATACTTTCTCTTGTCGACTGAAAAGGAGTACCTCGAAATTATCATGAGCTGTGCCTTTAAGATAGCTCCTTTTGTTGATCAAGAGCGCGGAGCTCACCCTCGATGGTACTGCCACGTTCTACGCTCGGAAGAAAACAGAGTCTGATACTGTAAGACTACCCTCGATCTTGACTTTACCGTGAAATAGCCCAAAGGACGTTTAAAACAGCGCTTTCGGCATACTTTGTGAGAAAACTTAAAGATGGCCTTCGTGTTGTAAGAGTTCAGTCCGGGAAACTCGAAAGAGTAGGAAGGCAGTCCCAGTTTTCAAATGGGATAAACACCCAAGTAGAAAAAAAAGCTCGAGTTCCTAAATCTTTGCTAATCCACTGTGATCTGGACTCCACTTTGGCTGTAGACATATATGTAGACTCGTCATTCGACTTTTCCGGATGAGACTTCCTTACTTCAACTAGGAGCAAATATTTATTTAACAATTTACAATGCATAATTGTTTGAAAAAATTGTCGTCTGTCTCCATGAGACAGAGACTTGTAGATCAACGATTTTGTCGTTCGACGAGTTTATAGTAGATTCCTTTCCGAGACAGAAGCGACTGATGCGTTCCATGTTCGGCTACTCGTCCATCACGACATACAACAATATGATCAGCGTTCTGAAAGGGTCACATCGGTCAGGCCTAGGGTAAATTGACGGCGAACGGGTCTTGGACCAACAGAAGAAAGTATGACTGTCGGGTACAATACCACCCACGAAAGGTCCAAAGGAATGTGAAGAGGTATGCCGAAACACTAACACGAACACATGGTCACGGGTTCGAATCCCGGATTGGTACCCGCCTAGGCTAAGCAAGCCTTTCATCCCTGCGGGATCAGTTAATTGGTACCAGACTCGTCTGAGAGTGGATAGTCAAACATTCGTTTCCAATCATTCCAAGTGAACCATGATTGCGTCAAAACTACCCCATTGGAAAATCGAACAGATAGACTGGGAATGGGTTCTCCATGTACTATACGTGCCTGCGCTTGCTTGGACTTCAGAACAAAACTTTTTTAATGAATGTTCCAGGTCCTAGTAAGGAAGAGTGCATCTGAAGTATTATAAGACCCAAGGATGGCTATTCAAAAGCTTGAAAGCGAATGAGACTAATTGCCTGAAACCAGCCAATTTTGGTTGCTGTGCCTAAATTCTATTAGCCACAAAGCTATACTGTAGTCACTTTCCGGGCCATTCTAAGGTGCAGATGAATATAGGAGCACTGGCATACCTGTATAGTAGATAATCGATGAGCTATAACTAAACAAGTTCGTCCCAGTCGTGCTCGATCTAGGGCTTCTTGTACCACCTGAAAATTGGAGATTATAAAAGGCCATGACTTCTCCATGTAATGGAACGCTTATATGGACATCCACCCATGAATCCTTTTGTTGTGTTCGACAATTCGTAAATCTAACATAAAGATCCGTTAAGGTGGGAAGCTCCGCCCATGCTACGAGTCACACCTAGTTGAGCACTATGGAGGGTGTGGGACTAAAATTCGCAGGGAAAAGGAAGCCATTCAGAGAGTATAACGCCCCTAGCAGTTTTTTTTTTGTTTAGGAAACAGGATGTCACGCAAAGAGCAGAACATGGTAAGGCACCTATGAATGATATTATTGGAAGACATTTCTACCAATCAAATTATATGTGAATTCTTCGGAGTCGAACAATCCCGTCCGGCTCCCACAGGGATTGAAGGTCTGGTTAGCGTAAAAGAGTATCAACCCAGGATTCAAACCGAGGACCATGCGTTGGGGTAGTGTAGCACGACTAAAACAGCTCGCCCATTGTTCACCAATAGCTATGAATGAATGCTAAGCATTCCCAGGACCTAGAGGCATCTTTCTAAAGTTTATCCCTGCACAAGTTTACGTCTAGATCGAGAACATTAGTCCACAGAAACGACACAAACATACCTTCTCACTTTCTGTGTCAAGCGCACTAGTAGCTTCGTCGAGAAGCAATATCTTTGGATCTCTGACTATAGCACGAGCAATGGCTATGCGCTGCTTCTGACCTCCAGACAGTAACCCACCTTTTGCTCCGACGACCGTATTGTACTCCTAAAAAACGTCTTTATCGTGGTATTCTTTCCATACACGTCACAAAGGCTATTTATTCAATCCGTCTTTTCCGATGGGCATGTGCATGGGGATAAAACGGGTGCGCTTCGTTGCGCGCGTCCGTCGAAACTAGGTCACGCCGCAGCCGTCGCAAGCGGCAGGTCAACCCGCGATACTTGACGGATGTCGCAGTTGTCAGCGGGGCATACGATTTGCGCTTGGTCCGCAGCAATCAGCTTAAATAGAAGATACAGAGAGGATAAATGCAAATCCTTCGCTCTACCAACACTTGGTAGTACTGTAATGTCATCTCGAGACCTCAGTAGTGTGCGCCGCGCGCGAAGTGGGCGGGGTGACCTACTTTCAACGGACGTTCTCCGAATAGAACAGTGTTCTCTGGAACATAAAACTTTGCTGACCGACATACAAAATACGTCACTAATGAAAGCACAAACCTCTGGAAGGCTAGCTATGAAATCGTGAATATTTGCGAGACGTGCTGCATGTACTATTTCCTCTTGAGAACACTTATCGAGACCGTACATGATGTTCTCGCTGAAAATACACGATGTTCTCACTAAAAACTTTATCTCGAGTCTACCTCAAAGGCACAGTTTACGGAAATGGTTTTTGAGATTCCCCATAGTGTGGATTCAAGGCTCCGCCTAAAACCATAGCTGAAATCCCGTCCAAATAGCCTTTCATAACATCTCCACCGTGGTAATCCAAATAGCCACTACATTCACTGCTTTCAAGGAGCCCTATTTTTGCAAAGTTGACGAATTTTTTTTTGCTTCCTTCGCCACCGCTGCACTATTCCGAACTAATGCTTCCGCTTTACACTTGAAAATAGTACCTCAAAATTATGGCGAACTGTGTCTTTGAACGAGAAATGCGAAATATTGATTATAAAGTCAAGCTTGATAAAGTCGTTGTACCGTATTGTAACATTGAAGAGAGTCGGCTCTTGTCCAACCAAAGCCATATTGTCCCGGACATAGCGAATGGAGAGGTCGCGTATATCATATGTGTCAATACTCTGAATAAAAATTGAATGGAAATCTGAAACGGCAACTTCTGGAGAAGCAAAATTGTAGTGAAAGGAGCTTGAACAAATCCCAGGAATCAGGCACACACTACAGAACGTTAGCAGAGAGTAGAAGAGAAGGCGAGTACTCCGTAGACATTTAATTTTCCCCTCCACCTCCAAGAAAAAACCTCCAAGAAACCTCGAAGGATCTTTCGTGCTGTGGTTTACTTTCTTTTCAATCGTTTAATTTCTTTTAAAAGCTTGCTGTCGTAATTATGCGTCTTCACGGTGTCCAGGGCTATGAAGGTAGCCAATTTTCCAGTCATGCCCAGTCTTCTGTTGTGTGTGTAATAGGGTGCACCCTGAGTGCATACAAAATAAAAAAAATAAAATGAATTTCTTATCGATGTGGTAATCCATTGATTCCATAGTTCTACTTTTTATCACTTTGGTTGTTGTATTTACTTCCGTTGGACCGGGCCATGTCATTACAGATATAAACAGCGCAGGTGGCCTGCTAGAACTTACCACAGTGCCACACAAAGCATCGTAGTATCGCTCCACAAGCTGTATCACAGTGCTCTTTCCGCAACCGCTGGCTCCCACTAGTGCCACCGTCTGCCCATGTCGGACGCTCAGGTTCATGCCTTGAAGTACAAGTTGGCGACGTCGTGCCGGATATGAGAAATAAACGTTTCTCAGTGCTACATCTCCTTTGAGCGCCTGAATAAAGGGATGATTGACCTTTGCGATTCTTCTTCGAAAAGTTTCATCAGCGTTAATTCACGCGCTCTACGATCTGCAAAGAAATCGCTTCTGCTCGTACGATTTTGCCTAACTAGAGAAAGTAATCACTGTATGTCCACTACCGTACTCACTGGTTTTTCTCCTTGATGGCTCATGTTGTCGATTTTCGGTCGTTGTCGCATCATCGTGAACATGACACCAGCCGAGATTCGAGCTCTTATGTACTCAGGGAAATAGGAGGCAGCCATCATTACAGTCATTGACGCCATGTTCAACGCCTCTATCACTCTTGAAAACAATCAGCCACATATTAGTGACAAAAGAAATGTTGCAATTAACATTCGTAAATCAAATGTAAAGTTGGCCATAATTTCACGTATCCGTATTGGTTGAGAGGTTGAACGCAGCTTCAGAATAGTGCGTCAGTTGAAAACGATAACATCCAAAGTGAAACTCTCAATGTTCTCACTGAATGTCTAACTCTAAGGGCTCCGTTGGCACGCCATTAATTGGGAGTCTTTACTCGGGTGAATGAGCATTTTAAACGGTTTCAAATCCTTGTTACGCCCACCTAGGAGGCATGAGAGAAAGCCTCATTTCGTCACCACAGAGATTACTGACCTGTCCCTCTTAGTGAATGCGAATTCATTTCCATCGCCATGTGTCTGTTTATCCTTACCGGGCATCATCATGCCAATAGGAAGGAATTCATTGTATTGTCATATCAAATTGTTGGAAAACAATAAGTCCTTATCTGCTGTGAGTTACAAAACTCACTGGAAAACAATGAAAGGCGTGCTCCATCCATTTCGTATAAGCCATAGACCAAAAGCGTAGGCAATGGCAAAGTTGACCACAACGAAACTGTTCGACAACGCTAGCGAAAGCGCCTGCCATAAGCCTAAACACCCGACCATTTATTATGGATGTTCAGCTGAACACTGCTATAGAACAGCCCTTAAGTCCACCCAGCCTCCTATGCTCCTCCGAAAGTATAAACTGTTACTTCGTTAAGGAACTCAAGATGGACTCAAATACCCGTGGGATTCGCTCCTGTGAAGAATGGGGATCAATCGCAAACAGTTCTATGACGATCCCACATCGGACAAAACTACAGCGCGCTTTTTGATACGGACCGATGGACTATTATAGTTCACTCCTTTTTATGGACTGATCATTACCATTATCAAAATTCACCTCGTACAAGAGCTCTTCGATGCGGTTCCTGTGCTGCAGCACAGTATGCTTCGTACATGTAGCCCTCTTTACAGAGTGCCTGAATCGTTCGAGTGTTCGAAATAGATTCGGTCGCTACCTGAACCAATAAGCTAACCTACTTTTTGCTGATTCATATGCCAGAAGTCAAAAAATTCCTCTGTGTTCGGCGAGAACTGATGATGATGAACCATGGCGAAGATATACTTTGTGTTTTTAGGTTGTCTACTTACCTGACTGGCTTCAACAGCTGAATCCATATCCTTTTGCCCTCTGAATTTCAAATACTGAGCGACAGATGATTGAATTACCACTGAAAAAATGCAGATTCAGGGGTAACTGTACCGTACGATGGCATGCTATAGAAGGCATGAACGGTGAGCGTTTCCAGAGCGTTCTAGGGGTACTAACCCAAGTGTGACTCTTGCAAGACTTTGTCAACCGATTTAAGACAGAGTTCATCCGCATTCTCCACAGTCTTGCTTAGCACTGAAGCTCCTTGAAGGAAGTACTAACCTAACATCAGGGCCGTTGCCAGACCAATCGGAGCAACATTCCAACCAAACGAAAATGCAACTGCGATACCAGCAACCAGGGCACAAACACCTTGTAGCACTTCTGCGAGTCGTTGATCAATGGCCTGATTATAAAGGTTCTTTGACAATGAAGATTAGTAGAAATCTCTTTATAAAGATTACTTTCGGATCTATGTCCTCTCCTGAGATCTCCTCACTTTTGCAGAAGCAAATATGGAACTTTTGAATGACCCAAATTGCTTGTCTCAAATATAACAACATTTCAGTTCCAGCCACGATCAGGGAAGCTATCGAATTTCCCAAAAAGTTTCGTCGGTTAAGAAACAGATTCTGTTAAAATCCAGTTGATTAAGTGTTCAAGGAGCAGAAATAGTGTACAGATACAGTGTTCAAAGACGGCAAAAGTGTTGCTTAGGTTGAGCGGTTAGAGATGGAGATAGTAAACAAATCTAGAACGCAAAATATACTCACGAGAGGCAAAAAATAAGTTTAAGAAACTGAGTTTGTAATGACATTTTCGTTTATATTAACTTATAAATATTAATTTAAGACATCACTTCAAGAAGGAAAGTATCTGTTCTGATTCAATTCTTGATATTGGCCGAATTGGTTTCGTCACTCTCGACACGGACTCAAGCAAGGGTCTTCTATGGTCGAGGCGGCAAGGAAGCCGACACAATATTCAAATTGGGCGCTATAACTGTTTAAACTGAGAGTGTGGAACCTTCTAGAAGGCTAGAAGGCAGATGCCCTTGCACTCTCACCAACTCTCGTTTCGTTCTGCCCGTTACTCTATCGTCCTTTCCTGGTGGTTTCTTTTCACATTGAACACTAAGTTTTTTCACATGGAACACCGGCTTCGCCTTTTTATATACACTCTGATCACTGATTCGTTTAAGTATCGAAATTATATTCTATCTACGCCAGGATGCCTATTCCATTCCATTCAAGTAATGGAAATTATAGCTGCATTCATACAAAAGTTTGCCTCCGATGTAGTCTTATTTGTGACTGGTCATACAAAAGTTTGCCTCCGATGTAGTCTTCTTTGTGACTATCTTAATTCAGTCTTCTCAGCTCATCTAGTAGTTATTACTACACTTTTACATTTTCTCAATTATACATTAGTGTTTTACGGTACTCACACTATGTTAATATCATTTTATATGAATATGTACATGTGTGGAACGTGAATGTCATTAATAATAGCTTTATGGGAACTATTCTTTTATACCACTTATTTACGCTCCCCACTAATACGTCCGTGCGGTAGGTCACGACTCCACGTCTTGCACGCTTCAAGTTCCCATTACCAGCTCTTCGCCACCTTTCGCCTATTCTTTCCTTATGGTTGTCATTCTCGTCCATCTTCCATCTTTGTCCATCTCTAATCCCACCTTCTGCCAGGCTCTACCACTGATGCGCGCCCCCTAGCCCGGAGTCGTGTGCACGATAGTGAGTGCGCCTGCAGAGAGAAAACTGAAATGCTGTCAGAGAACAAGATTGACAGCATCAGCCAATCGCGGAAATTCAGTTGCAGAGAGACATCCCATCATTACCAGGGCCTGTTATAGAGGCGATTCACTGTCTCAGAATCACCACTCTCACATTAGGGTTGTCTCCACCTTCTCCACCACATTCCAGAGACGAACTTGCTGCCTGTGACTAAGTAACATCACCTAAAATTCTTCATCCGTAGTTCTCAACTGCAGACTTTTTTTTGTTCTGTCCTTCTCTTGTGCTAAAATTTATTATTTCTGTAATAGATGTGTGACTTTGGCACTATTACAGTCTTGAAAAATCAATGAAAACGCGTCTCCCCCAATATGCATGCAAGTCATCAAAAACGTCCGATCGTCTTTAGGTTCTCGACACCATCATTTTACCAACATTGGTATCCGAATTCTAGTCCAGAATGAAGAGGCTAGAAACATTCTCACGTTCTCGAAAGAAGTCAGAGGCGAGCATGACCAACTTCGAGCATTCTTTTGGGCTCTCAAAATACCAGAAGACAAACAGGGCCTTTGCAGAGCGAGGCATGCAGGTAGAAGTCCCAGTAACGGCAGATGAAATGAGTTGCAATGACGTTGCAAATTGTGACTACCAAAACGAGCATCAATACCGGAATATCCGAACACAGAAGAGGGAACTACCATTTGCGGCTAGTTTTGGGAGAATCATTTCCAATGTGAAGGTTCTTATTCATAACAACGTGTGGAACTTTCATGAACATTGTTAAAGAAGAAAATGTATTCGGTCAAATTCATACCTAGAAAAGATTCGTGATATTGGGAATGAAAATTATTGTGCCAAATATGATTCAGAAAATGAAATTATAGAGAACCACGACGATGTCCAGGATGAATTAACAGAATACGAAAAAGAAACCAAAGTCCCTGCTGGGCGAGCGCTGAAGTATCGAAAGGACACAGTCACTATGGCGAGCTCCGGAGTAGGAAATCAGGAGGCACAACGCTCTACAGATTTAAAAAAACATCAGAATATGGAGCAATCGGTCCACAACGCGAGCGACGGTACTACATAATGTGAGAACGAGCCACTTTGCTCTCGTTGTCGGTTCGATTAGGGCGGATCAACAAGCTTCAGACGCTGCGCTACGTAAGTGACTTAAAAAAAGTTGCGCGTTGGCTTTCTTAATTCTGTTGTTGGTTCAGTTACTCAGTTTCGAAATTTTTATTGCGCTGTGTGCCTAATAAATAGTTGGTCGCGATTGCTTCGATAGGCGACCAAAAGTTTCTACTGAAGTTAATTTCGAGGCATTCCTTGTCAACTACAAAACAACATCGAAGTCTCGAATAAAATTGTAATGGGATTAATAAATGATGACGACAATTCTTGTACATACTCACGACATCTTTTCATAGTGCCACCAATTTTCAGTGAAGACCTTGGAGTGTCTTAAAGCCTCCATTAAAAGGCGAGAAAAGGTATGCTTAACAGGCCAGCATGGAGTTTGGCAGGAGACTCGAGTTGAGGAAAGAACGATGCGGATTTGCAAAGCTCAGTCAATAAAACAGTAAGAAAATGCAGGACCCTAAACACTTCTACCTGCTAAAGGAGAAGGTAGGGAATGGATGCCGTATAATGTACGCCATCGAGTGAAAATGTGGAAATAAGTACATAGAAAAACCGCCTATTCGTAGAAAAAGGGTTCCAGTCGTTGTATGAATCCTTTTATCTTGTGAAGTTTCTCTACCAATAAGTAGTGACGAAATAGAAGGATGTGGCATGATTTTGTCAGTCCGCTAACTGTTCAAGCTTTAAAGGTAATTATTTATCTTGACATAATTTTCCGAAGAAATCTATTGCACAATACGACAGAAGATAGTCCTTACCGCCTGCACATTCGGTGTGTCTGTTGCCAAATGAGCTGTCAAATTTCCTGTATTGTGTCTTGGATTATCAAAGTAGGAGGCGTCTTGGCGCATGATGTTCTGAAATCAGTGGACCTTTAGGCGTGTATAGCTACGGCTTAAGTGGTTGTGGGACCCTTATTCAGCCTTTTTCCTCTTTTTCGACCCGACAGCATCTTTTGCGCTATCATAGGGCCAGGCTCATTCAAAGGAGAAATTTCAGGAACAATTTTTATCATGGAGTGTGCCTTTAATTCGTATTATCAGTCACGCAGCCCTTCTGCCTCTCAGGATACTATAATATTTTCATAAAATGCGTAGTTTCACTAGAGTCAACTAGATCAGGGAAATTTGTTTGCCAAAACTTGTTGCCTTTTAATCTCAGGATTTCCCTAAAAAACATTTTGATAAATAGATAATCTCGTTTTTTCATATTTCAGTAATCGTTTTTGTTTCATGGCTTTATACTGACAATAAGGGAACTTTTCACCTTGAAAACATCCATTCGTAACCGCATTGCAACCTTTTCGCCAGTGATGCCGAATAACGACCCAGATGCGAATGCAGTGATCCCGGATCCTATGCCGAGTAACAGGAAACAGATCGAGTTAAATATGGTACCATTGGCTAGGGCATTCGGATCCGGGTTAGAGAACAACTGTAATTAAGCATCCAATTGCCATAAAATGAAGTTGATATCAGTGTTTAGACATGGTAAGGTCATTTAACGTCAAAATGAGCAAATTCCGAAAAGAGAGCTGGGTATTCTTTTGCAATTAAATGTCGCCCATCGCTTTTTGGTCGGTTCTGGGATTCGTGGTTGCAGAAGTGTCTACAATTCATAATCTGCTGGCGAAATTTATACAAGCGAAATTTCTTACCAGAAACAATTTGCCGTAGACAATGGAAAATAGCGGCCATGTGAGTCCACGTATCAATGCGAAAATCAGGGCAATTCCGGCCATTGGAAGTTCCTGGAAAAGGAAGGTGGATGCTCCCTCAAAACCAATAAGCGGAATAATAATGTGTGGAAGATAAATACTGCTAGAAAAATTTCTGCACACAACTACTGATCCTTACTGCACTGAAATCAAAGTAAAATTCATTTGGCGTTGTTTGTTCTCATTCAGGAGTGCACCACATCTGACCTTCACCCAGTACCGTACCGTGGTGGCATCACAATGGCCATTTTGCTTCTACATAGTGTCGTCGGGGAAAGTCGTACTACTACTAATGATCGTCCCTATTTTCCCAGTCAGGCTACTTTCAAATACAAACCCTTCAACAAAGTTTATGCCCAAAAGGTCTAGTTTTGACCCAAGATTCAGTGCTGCGGTGCGGTAGCAATACCCCTTGTTGCCGCAGAAAAAAAGCAGTCGAAAATGGAAGTTCAGGCGATTCCAATGGATTCTCATAACGTGACGAGTCCAAAAGAAAAAAATGGTCAAAATATGTAGAAGGCATAGTGTAGGTCCGCAACTTCAAAAGGACAAAATTTCCAGCTCTCGTGGTAAGAACTGTGCCTCTCGTCTTGTGCACGCAGACCTCTTGATTTCCATTGTATCTACTAGAAACTGGTCATTCACGCAAATAAAAGTTAATAAATAAATAAAAATAAAAATAAAACTATAACTGGTAAAATATTCACAAAATTATTGATAGAAATGTAGTAAATGAAGCACTTTATGCTTTACAAGCAGCTGCTTTCGTAGAATGCTGCTTACCGGTTTGGCATAGCATAGAATGTCGAGCAGAGAAGCTTCCATTCCGCCTTCTTCGATCAAGTTGTCACGAGCGCTATAAGAATTTTCAGTAAAAGTGGATTATATGGTCAAAGCTCGAATTCCAAGCGCATGTCAAGAAGTAGATCCATACAGAATGTTATGAGAGACCAAATTCGTTGGACAGATGCTTCACTAGTCGGGCGCGAAACAATTGTGTGCCAGTTGGGAGCACGTCCCGTTTTCGCTGACCTTTCTCCTTCGAATAGTAGGTGCCACAGTACACAACTCGCCGGAATATCATAGGAAACACTCGCGTATCTCAGTAGTGGCCACAGAGATAGGCAGAGGTGCACACCAGTGGGAGATACCCGCTCTCGAAAAGATTTAGATGGTGATCACTACTATTTCTACTACACCCACTCATTCTCTTCATTCAATCCGACTGGGTAGGCGTTACTTATTAGCAACAAAATGTAATCTTAGCAAAGAGTGATGAATGTAGTGATTGTGTGGGTTACTGTGGAATTAATAATGCAAGCGATTGACTCATCCAGCTCAAGGAATAGGGCAGAAAAGCGATATATATATTTCTGTGGCTCCCCTTACCTACCTACTTCCCAACCATCCCTAGCAGTGTAACCAGTTGTTCCATGAGAAGCCTGCTAACCTTTCGATTTCCCATTCAGGTTCTTGTGTCGATGCGCTGACCATGCTTTGACGAAGTCTGGCTGACTCTCTGGCTCGTTCTGCACGATTCTGACTGTCATCTTCCGATACTGCACGAGAGACTCCCCGTCGAATTTCTGTCGGATCCACGTCTGAACCATGAGATAACAGCAAATATTGTTGACTACCTAGTCAAAATTTTTCAGAAAGTCCTTTTCTGTTGGTGTCTCCATCACCAACCCTACCATCGAGGGTAGTGTCTTCTTCCCCTTTTTCGATTGCTTGCGCTTTCACCATGCTACGATACACACCATCCTCAATTGACATCAGTTCATCATGCGTGCCTGGAATCAAACTTCAGAAATTCTTTATCATACATATACGACTATGATAGTTAGAAATTTAGGGTAATTATATAGTAACAACTTTGTCGACTGCTCAGGACCGTGGCAACGAGAACACCTTCATATCATTTTTGGAAATAATAAAGGCAGACATTAAAATAAATTTTTATGAATGTGAATTTTCCTCTTCAGTAAATTCAAAATTCATATCACGAACGAAGCTCTAAAATTATCATCTCATTGTCGTCGATCGTATCAGGTCAAGTAGAACCCAACTAACGGCTCTGTTAGAAAGTTTTGGACGGTCTTTCTACAGTCTGTCTATCCGTTGCAGAAGGCAGAAATGCTATGGACCCAGTTAACGGTTCTGTCCCAAAGAGTTCCTCTATCCCTCACATCCTGTTTCGTAGTAAACAATTATTTGAAATAATCGATAATTGATCCAGATTTCTAAATTATCATACATCTGACAATACCAGATGATCAGTTCTACAGATAATTAAAGCCCCAATTTTCATGGAAGGGAAGGAATTGCTTAGCACTTACCTTGTTCGACAATGTGTCCCTCGTCAAATACAATAATTTTGTCAGAGTCCCTGATGGTCGAAAGGCGATGAGCTATGCATAGAGTAGTCCGATTTTCGCGAGCCTGGAAATGGTTGCGGGTGGATTCTCTTAAGATTCCTATTGGAGGCATTTGGGTGCTGAACTGCTACAAAAATGTAACTCTTTTGACCTTGTCAAGCGCTTCTTGTACAGCGCGTTCACTTTCCGTGTCCAAAGCACTAGTCGCTTCATCCAGAAGCAATATTTGAGGGTTTCTAACCAAGGCTCTTGCAATGGCGATTCGTTGCTTCTGACCTCCTGATAGCTGAACAGCTCCCTCACCGATCACAGTGTTGAATCCCTAGGAATACCTAGTTAAGCACGTAGCAAGTAAATAGGTAAACATGCTTACTGACATACCTCACTTAATTTATTGATGAAGCCTAAAGCATTCGCGAGTTTACAAGCCTCTTCAACATCCTCATCAGTTAGGCTGTCATCACCCATTCTGAAACATTTTTACTAAACTTTAGGAGACTGGCTTATATCATATTCGGAATTTATGATAACTATTGTGGTTGATTCTCCACGTTGATGGAATGACCAAAATAAGGTGTATTGTTTGTTTGTTGTTAACATCAGTTAGCTGGTGTACTCCACATCACACCCGTACCGCGTCCAAAGTAGGAGTAAATAGAAAACAATAATGTAAATGTACTGTAGAAGTCTCGTGAAACATACTATATTTATGCATCTGATTTGACCTCCGGATTCCGCCATGCATTCTCTTTCGTTACAAATTGTAGGTAATCCTCCTCACATGCAACCCTACATTTTTCGCCCTATACAATACCTAGTCCAACCAAGCTTTAAGCCAAGATAACTTTTTTCCTTACTGAATACGATTCTAATAACCCATTACATAGAGTCCACGGAGGATTACAGCGCTCTGAGAAGGCGAATAAGATCCCCATTTCACTCTATGTCCTTGTAGCAGGTGTTATCAGTTACTACCTGTCCGTATCATCACAGAAAACGAGTCATTCTGCCCACTCATGCTATATTTCTCCCTAGACCAACTCTAACCTTCAAGAAATCGATCTCTGTAGGTTCACTCCGCGCTTCACCCTGACCACTTCAAAACAGAGGAGGAACCCTAGAAAACCATACTTACCGCACATTTTCAGCGACCGTGGCACAAAATATCACTGGTTCTTGTTGTACAACACCAAGTACTGAACGCCACCACATGACATTGTAGTCTCGCAGTGGAATACCATCGAGGGCTACCTGCATGTGCATAATGATCGAGAAAGTGAAAGCATTTTCTCATAGTATAGCGGTTAATTACTGATGCGCAAGTGATGGTGGAATAACTTCATCAGACTCACAAGGTTGGCTAGTAAGTATAAGTACGGGTTCGAGCCCTGTGCGAGGCCCACCACCTATCAACTATGGCCGTTTTGATGGGTTTATACCTCCCTCCCCATACTAGTCTTTTACTTTTCTCATATCGATCGGTCTCACGGTATACAGGGCTAGGGTAGGCTTTCATAAATTAGACCCGATTTCCATCGAAACTCAGAGAATTCCTTTGAGTTGCCAGCTTAGAGGCCCTCCGCCCAATCGCTACAACCAACGGTGAACGCACGAATGCTACTGAGCTGCCCCGTAATTTATCGCCTCAATGGCATCTATGCTGGGACCTTTTCTGAGTTTTCAGAAAAGTTAAATACAAACCATTCCTGCACTTTGCTCATAGAATCGGAGAAGTAAGCTGATGATCGTCGATTTTCCACATCCTGAATGTCCAACCAAAGCTACAGTTTCACCAGGGTTAACCTATAACATAGATCCTCAAAATGAAAATT